CATAACTGTAAAGAGAGTAAGTTACAGTTGCATGTAGATAGAGTGCAGCGAAGTTTACCTGGCATAGTCGAAGTCCAAAGTTGAGTTCTGAGACTGAACAACCGCCCATGCCGACCATAATAGATGAGCAAACTGGAAGCAAAAAAAGATAGAGTATAACGAGAACGTTTTTTTTTCAAGAACTACATGAGATTTAAGCGAGAGAATAGTTGTGAACTTTGCTTTAACAGTTTTTTTTTTTGTTTAAGTGTACAGCAAAGACATATGAGATGAAGTAAAACTCCGAGTGGGAACTCCGATAAATCAAAATTCACCGACGTAATCTGCTTTCAGATTTCGACGTAGTGTTCTAGATATGTAAGATATGAAGCCAAAGATTTAAATTGTGATGATAAAATATTTCTACGTACCGCTTGAAATAGTGAAATTCGTCTCAACATTGCTGTTAACCTATTTTTATCCACGTGACCATGTCTTGCTTCCAGATAAAAGCATAAAAATACACGCATTTCGTCACGATCTGGGCATTGCTTATAATCAGGATTCTCGACACCTGAAATCTCTTTCTTTGGCAGCACTCAAAGTACCATTACTGACTTCGTCTTTTCACCCTTATATGAAGTTTGAAGGTGTTTGTGAGCTTCCAAGAATTTGCAACCCTTAAAAAACCCATTAGAGATCTTGACAGGTCTTGCTCTACCTTTTATGGCTCTTATCTTATCTACAAAGGCAAGCCTAGTGAGGTGCGAGTTTTGATGTTATCTATCCCTAATAAGGAGAATATTCTACTACATTTTATTGGTCTAAATCACAAAATCTTATTCGAAACTTTCTTTTGTCACTAAACATCTAATAATAGTCACAAATGAACACCCAATCGTTAGCGTTTTTTTTGAATATCATTAATTTAGGTGTGAAAGGGATTCGAAGACAGAAAAATGGTCATGAAGTGTTAACAGGAATTAAGTTATTGTGATCGGAATTCATAATGACCTGCGAATTCACAGAAGTGGTTGGCGATGTCGAAGAGGGTGTAGTTGAAATCTGCATATTCGTAGTCGATAAACATCACCTTCCCTGCAAGGAGTCCCTACTGTGTGTAACTTTTGCCTTAAAAGTGCTTAAATGCCTTTAATTCTTGAAGTAGCTTATTGAACAATCAATGACCATGAAGAAGATTTGGGAATGTAGAAGATAAAAAAATAAAACGGAGCACTTTTGCGGGAGGGCGCTATGATTTTGAGTGGATAAAAAATTTAAAAATTTTACTCTCCAATAAACGTGAAACTGCGAGCCTCTTTAAA